TGTGAGTTTGTTTGTGTCTCTCTGTATTGTTTCACAGGACAGTTTTTGTCATAAAGTGATTTAAAAAATACAGATTTCAGTATTCTGAGGCTCTGAGCCCGATTTCTTTTCCTCGCGGACGGCAAAAAAAGTCCGACATCATACAATTTAAAATAAAAACAATAATCGTGGCTTGATATTGAGTAGGAAAATGTTTTTATGAACCACACAGCTTCCGGTCTTCCAAGACCCGACTGGACAAAAAGACGTGGTGCAGGCACGAAACACACTACCAATAGAAATACATTGCTTTTAAAATCGCTCTGTGTGACACGAAAAAAATGGGAAAATCGTGTTGGTGAACACGAATCAATAGATTACATTTATTTTGTGACTATTACACGAAATGCCGTGAGACTGGGTTGCGCATGCTGGCTCTTACGAAACCGATTAACTCCACTTTTGTGTAATAGCAGCTCTCAACATGCCCAGACGTGTAATGATTTTCACCTCGTTTAATACTTTTCACCTCATTCTGAAAGAAAGAGGTGAAATGTGCTAAGGTGATGGCCATCTTGGTGTTTGTGACGTGTATTGTGCGAGACCAGAGATGTAGTTCATTGAGCGGTTTCACACAAAAATAAGTGTTACTTCACAGTTTTACGACAAACTTTTTTTTTCTTGACTTGCAAAATTATCTTTTAAATTGACAAACATCATGGCACAATTCAAACAGGATCGAAAGATATTTTCTCTCTCCCCATTGACTACAATACATATTCTTTCCGAAATAAGGTCCCATGGAGGTCCACCTGAAAGGGAGGGACTTTGGCTCTCTATACTCGCGAAACCGGAAATAAAACAGTTTCAAAATAAAACAGTGTATTAATTTTAAATTCCGGCACACATATTGATTTTTATTTCTTACACTAGTGGCTAGTTACCATCAGGTAAGTGAGGCGTTAAGCAGGTTGCAACATCCAGCTTTCCTGCCTAAACACTTCTAGGTCGAGGCTATGGATTTATGATTGCTTCACTGCACAGAGCATTTTTTTCTCCCTGACTCTGAAGACACGTTTGGGGCACACACACACACACACACACACACACACACACACACACACACACACACACACACACACACACACACACACACACACACACACACACACACACACACACACACACACACACACACACACACACACACACACACACACACACACACACACACACACACACACACACACGGACGGAAACAAATCTCTTCATTTATGCAGGATGTATCTAGGAGGACAGGGCTTACAATAGCCTTCTACTGTTTCTGTTGTGTGTGTCAGGTGAACACATGTCCCCGTTCAGCCCCAGTTTCCCAGTGACAGACAGCACCGTGCTATGGAGTTACAGCCTGTCCTCGTACACGCCGACACACGACTCTAAGGCCACAAACACACACACACACACAAAGCTGCCTGAGGGCTGAGGTTACAGTGACCTATTTACAAGGTAGATTTGGTCACAATTACTGGCAAGACAGACTGATGAGGACACCACTATCATGCAAATTGGATGGGGACACATGAAACCCATTTCTATGAAGGTCATTTTGATATAAACATGTAAGTGTATCAATGTGTAAAGGACCAATTTTTTTACCATTTGACTTCAGCCATGTTAGCACTCTGAAGCAACTGGGGATCATTGATGCTTTGAGATGGACGCTAACTTTAGTATGCTAACATGCTCAATATGATGACACTTCCACTGCTAATATTAAGCGGGACAAATTTTACCATGTTCACCAACTTGGTTTAGCAAGCTAGCATGCTATACTGGCTTATTATTGTTATAACAAATGACTAAGGCTGATGGGAATGTTGTTTTGTTTGCAGTTACAGTGGAAGAAATAAGTATTTAGGGCCGTCCCTGGCCAACTTGAGGCCTCACGCAAAGTTATACGATGAAGCCCCTCTGGAGGAAGGGGTGCTAGTGAATCATTCAGATGTTCATTGGCAAACTTCAGACTGTTCGTTCATGTGTCTTCTTGAGCAGGGGGGCCTTTGGGGGGCTGCAGGATTTGATCCATTATAGTGTAGTGTGTTACCAATAGTTTTCTTGGTGACTGTGGTCCCAGCTGCCTTGAGATCATTAACAAGTTCCTCCCGTGTAGTTCTTGGCTGATACCTCACCTTTCTCATGATCATCAATACCCCACGGTGCGATTGATTGTTGATTGATGCCCATTTTCTTTCCTTCCATTTTCAAATAATGGCACCAACAGTTGTCTCCTTCTCACCTAGCTGCTTTCTGATGGTCTTGTAGCCAATCCCAGCCTTGTGCAGGTCTACAATATTGTCCCTCGGGTCCTGAGACCGCTTTTTAGTCTTTCCCATGGTGGAGAGGTTGGAATCTGATTGATTGATTCTGTGGACAGGTGTCTTTTATACAGGTAACAAAGTAGATATTATGAGTGCTTTCCTAAAGGAAATGAACTTATGTAACCGGTCTGTGGGAGCCAGAATTCTTGTTTGTTGCAAGGGGATCAAATACTTATTTCCCACAGTTAAATGCAAATCGATTTTTATCTTTTATATAATGTCAATTTCTGGATTTTCTTTTTGATATTCTTACTCTCACTGTTAAAATAAACCTACCATTAAAAGTATAGACTGTTCATTTCTTTGTAAGTGGGTTCACTTACAAAATCAGCAAGGGATCAAATACTTATTTCCTCCACTGTATTTGGTCATGAATCATTCTTTGGCCACCTGTGGGGAAAATGTGTGAACTGGATACACCAACATATCATTACTTTTTATGTTGGTGTTGCTTGATAACTTAGCATTATCATTTATTCAGGTTTTCTGACCACCTGTCAAATGTTAGTCCAATTTTTTTTGTTTCTGTTTTTGGTCTCCACCTACTGCAGAAGGATATATCCGGATCTTTAGCTGCTAAATAGTCCACTGTGTTCACCAGCTATTTGCTAAGCAGGTGGGTTTTTAGAGCTACTTTGTTGGAAACAGCTGCTGACGCTGCTGTAGCCCCAAACAACTCTACAACAGCAGTGAGAGTGAACCAAAAGTGTGAATTTGTGGGCCTTACAACAACACAATAATCTGAAACTCACTATAAACATCCATAAAGCCGATGGGGGCTTCAGAATTGGGTGATCATTTCTTATTAACTTCATCATGGTTTTCTTTGAGATACATTGTTACTATGGAATATTGGTGATAGCTTTATCAAGGCATCAACAGAGTTTATACATTTCATGGCAATCTATCCAATATTTCTTGAGACATTTTTGTTTGGAGCAATAGCTAATATGAGATCCATCAAAAACTATTGAATTATTGGATCTGTTATCATCAGTATTTATCAGAAACAAATAATTAAACACCTCAACCTAAGGACAAAGCATATTAATCTGACACAAATTCAAGTAGTTTAAACTTTAAACCTGGGCTAACATGAGGCTGAAATAAAATAAACATTAAATTGTGGACAGTCACATCTGTAACACAATCCAGAGAATTCCTCGCTTCATAATCTGTTTAATAGGCATCAACAGATTGCTGCTGTCAGTGCCTGCATGTGGTTTGGGGTTTTAATTAAAAAAATGTAAATGATATGTGTGTTTGTACCAAAAACATCTGCGCCAAAAATAACTGATGACAGACAATGGCTAAATATTTCGAAAATGTCAGGAACCGCCTGGGGACTCGACCAGATATTACATTATGTCCTCAGCATACGCACTGCTTCAGATTTTAAATACCAGTAGCATGAAACCTTCTGGAGAGCTTTAACTGTTGCAATCTGAAGATTTATTCAAAGAAATAAACTTTTCCCCAGTTCCCTTTAAGATTGCAACCTGTTTGAAAATAACACTTTTGAGTTTGGATTAAGGAATTTACGGATCATCAGTTTTTTAACTCTCCAAATAACGAGCATGCTATTTCACCTAGAATTATTACGCAGACGCAGACACAACATGAATCTGCATCACAGATGATGATGTAAGACTAAATCTACATTGTCATGATATAGACTAGAGAGTCCTGAAATATATATATATTTTATTTTTGGGAGTAACTCTAGCAGCGTATAGACAATTAAGAGAAAGTGATGGACAACATTATTTAATTTATAAGGGAAGTGTCCATCAGATCAGGGGTGTCCAAACGACAGCCCGTTGTCTACTTTGAATTGGCCCTCAGCAATTTCAATAAGTACAATGGAATATGGCCCACACGTGAAACTTGTGCTTTTCTTATTTTTTCTTCCTAAATATATATGTAAACATATATTATACAGTAATATTCTTGTGTTAAGAAGCCCACTTTCAAATAAATGCGGACACTCCTGATCTAGATCATTGGCAAGAGAAACGTGCATTTCGACCCCGACCTTTGACCTTTTTAAGGAGATATTGAGTGGTAGAGCTGGACTGTCCGGAAACAAGAATCAGCTTTATTATTATTACTATGTCAGTTAGGAAATGTATTACATTCAATCAAATTTTACTGATATAGCCAAATATTTAAAATGACTATCTGTAAAACATACAGTAAATGAATGGTGGAATAAATGTAAGAAATGGTGGAATAAATGTAAGAAACCTCAGGGAGAGCAACAGAAGGCAGAACACTTAACCAGGTTTTTACTTTATTCGGTTTCTATTTCATTTATTTAAGGTTAAGAGCTAATTTGATTACATAATTGGTTGCTACAAGTCAATAGTAAAAGCCTCCATTAAAATGTGCAGAGTCAATGTTGTGATACTTACAGCATGCGTTTGTCAGCCTGGAGCATCCTCTAACTGTGAGAGGGCAGAAATGTCTCGGTACAAACAGTCTTAGAGCGCCCTCTGTTGGACTTCATGTGTGTTGCAGGTTAAGTAAGGCACTATACAATTATTTACAGAGTATATAAAGGGGTCTTCTTCCAATCATCCCCTCTCATTGAATATAATGAATATAAATAAATCATGCAAAATGATTTACTCCCACACCATGTGATTTGAAATGTAGTGATTTATTCCATGCTAAAGCTTGATCAATATAAACCCCCAGAAAAGAACAGTAATAAATACAGCATATCATGATAGAGAAAATAATTTGCACTTATTAAAAAAGAAAAGACCTCAAGTAATAACAGAGATATGACATTTCTCAAAGTGTGGAGTGATTCAGAACAGACTCTTATCGGATCGGAGTGTATCGGTGCAGATAGCGGTGAGCCTCCAGGGGGGAACAGATTGGAGATATGTTGGATACATTCATCGTATTCAGTCAGTTATTTATGCGCAGAATCTGAAAAATAATCATCAGAGGTTTCAGCACGAAAAACAGATGTTTGGGAGTGTCATCATGCAACCCCTGGACAGCAGATACCCTTTCACTATTACAGTAGGAATTAGAGTAGAAGGATTGATTGCATATCTAAAATCTGACACCGTACATTTTAATATTGTGATTCTTTCCAGTGTTTAGTAATCTCTAACTAGGCCCAATAAGGTACAGAGTGAGACACACAACTGATACTCAGTCGAACATAACAGAGGCAATGAGAAGGTACCTTTTACATTTCCGATAAATAAATAAATGCTGCATTTCTTCTGTCTTAAAGTAATTTGATATTTGAGCCTGTCTCGGAAAAAGTGCTGAAAACTCTAACGGACACACACATTCTGCAACGTCTCAACAACACGCTTTGGTTTTCAATTCATACACATCAGAACAGATGGATGCAGTACAAAAAAAAAAAATCATCCAGTAGTAAGCACATGAGATTTTAGAGCAGATGTTCTAATAGAAAACTCGGAAATATTCACACCAGCAGCTTTAAATGAATTAACCATCACCACGTTGACATTTAAAATAAACTGTAACCAATCATGTGCATGTAGCTTTTAAATCTTGCCTTTGCACAAGTATAGCAGCATTTTTTTGTTGAAACCCCATTAGTTTGTCAACTTTGTCTCAAATGACTTACATTAAGACCCAAAGAATTGACATTAATGCTCGTCTGGTTATTATTATGTCTCCACTGCACCATTAACTAGCTTTATAACTCCTAATCAAATTGGTGTAAAGAGTGTAAACATAAGATTAGAAGAGTTTTTGCTGCTCTGGATCTTAAAAGAAATAAAGAAGCCAACCCTGTGAGGAGATATGTGGGTGTTAGGAGGGAGGAAGAGGAGCAAAAAGAGTGTGAGAGAAAGCAGAATACAGGAGAAAGAGGCAGCTGTCCAGGCCCCGCAAGGCCTGTCTTCCGTCTTCAAGGGAGCAGAGATAGGCCTGTCCTCCCCCCGTCCCCCTGTGGATGATTCCCGTCTGCTGAGCAACGATAGGGCGCAGCGACTAACACGCACCCACTGAGGGTGAAATGCAGCGGGCAGCATCTGGGTGTTTGTCTGCGTCCTGCTGTGTGCCTCGTCTCTGGGTGCACACACACACACACACACACACACACACGCAAAGCTCATTAAAAAAGTCCAACCATGCAGAGGAGACGGGGGACAATTATCAGAATCACTCAGGTTGGAACCAGTTTCCAAAATCGAGAGACAAACAAAACTTCAACGGAAAGTTAATAGATGAAGATGTGCCGGGCCGTTTTGAAAGTGAAGTACCTTGAATTAGTCGTGATAAATAGCCAAAGTCCTGATTCTAGACCTGTGTTTTTGCCCAGTACACTCATAATTAGATTCCTCGTATCTCAATATATATATATTTTCTAGATCCCTTATAAAGGGCCTACCTTAACACTCCAAACACAAAAGACCAAAATGTCCGCTCAGGTAGGGGAACAGAACTTGAAAAAGCTCCAAGGGTTTCACGTATAATGTAGCAACCCTTACATCTTAGTACAATACAAGATAGACATTGTATTATAATATAATTAGCAAGTTTAATACATTTTACATTCCCATCCTTTTCAGTGTCAACCGTTTTCCGAGGCCTGGTCACGGCAGAAGGTAGCACAGCAAAGTACGTTTTCATTATTGGTAACTTTTGTTTGTGTAAAATGTCACAGAGCCCATAGTGGTGTCTTCAAATGACTTGTTTAGCTAATCAACAATCTGAAACACAAATACAGTCAATTAACCATCATTGAGAAAGGAGAATAAAAGAACATTTGGCAAGGGGTTATTATTTGCCATTTTGTTCTTTTCATTAAAACAGTAAATAATCAATAAATGTCAAAACTCTGGTAGTGATTATTCACAGATAGCTAACCCAACTTATTTCCACTTGCTCTGTGCCTTGTTCTCAAGATCTGAAATAGTTTTAATCAATAAAGGATTCCAATAAAGAGGGGGAAAAACAAGCTAGCTAATCATAAGCAAAACTCATTAGCTTTGCCGCTAACAGGACAATGAGTCAGTATTTTCAAGAGACGTATTTGTACCAACGACACCTGTTGTATAACTGTCATAAATCCCTGTTTTAAACGTATTATCAAGTCTAACTTCTGCACTGATTCCATTGGAATGATTGATTTTTGCCAGTGTTGCATTGTAGCTGCTGTAGTGACCAGACCTTCAGAAGGAGAAAAGGTTGATTAACATTCTGACCATGACTCATCAAAATAAGATGTACGTTTCTCTTTGCAAAACCGCACAAACGCAGCTCTTTGGTACATTCCACTACCCAATGAAATGTAAGAGGCATTGAAACATAGATTAAGACCTTAAATGAATCATATACATACAAAAATGATAAGTACTATGAATACCTGAGAAAGATAATTTTTTAAATGAAAAAGATGTCATAAATGGTGGCTTGGGGGTGGAAAAAGAAGTGGGCTAAAATGTAGTCGACAGAGAAAAGAGACTCTCCTCACAACATTACATTCAGTTACATCAGCCACACCTTGTTTTCCAGCCATTGCTGATCTAAAACAAACGGGAGGGAGAAACGCAGCAATCAAGGAGCTTTTCTCTCCATCTTAAGAAGTAATATGTGAAAACCCTTAGGCGTACACACACACGCACACACACACACACACACGCACTTTTTGTTTTGAGTTCCACTGGACTTGTTTCACAAGACTAAAGCCGGCCCTTGTCTTTGTAGCACCAGCTGATGAGTCTCGTTAAGGCCAGCTCGTTAGGAGAGGGCCGTCTCCGTGGCAACAGCTTGGTGACATCATGTCTGTTGTGACGTCAGTAGTAGGACATTTGTTTTTGGTTTAAAGAGTCAGCAGCAAGGCGTTGTTGAGGAGTGTGTTCAGTTCCGTGCCTGATTTGTATTCCTCTCACCCTTTGACGTCATTTTTAGGCCGTGTTTGTTAGCTAAACACATTCCCACACGTCGAAACATGTCAGTAAAACTTGTCATCGATGCGGAAGTGCGGCCTGGTGACATCATCGGGGTTGAGAAAGACCGATATGGATTTCCCAGGGTTCTCAGTGACCAGCTGCTGCAGTCGCTGTGCCAGCTTGTCCTCCGACGGGGAGATGATGCCGTTGGCTGGGTTGTGCCCGGGGGATCCGTGGCCGTTGGTGCTAGCTGTTAGCTCCTTCTTCAGCTGCCCCGCCTGCTGGGCCTGATGCAGGGCCGCCCGCAGGTGCTCGCTGGGATCCGATCGCAGGTGGGCGAGCTTCCTGGCGACGAGCAGCGCCTGGCTGTCTGTGAGGTGCTCCAGCATGTTGCACTGGGGCAGGAAGTAGTTCGGGCAGTTTTTACCCAGGATGCAATGAGCGAGGTCATCAAGGAGACCTAGGAGGAGGCGGCCAGCGGTGTCGGGGTCAGAGCACGACAGGTAGGAGGCAGGAAGTCGGTCGCAGGCCCAGAAGAGGAGGGTACGCAGATGATAGAGGCTGAGGCCCCGGCGAGGTCGGGAGAGGATACGGGACAACACAGCCTTCGCTGCTTGGAAAGCCTGGGCCATGGGGTACGGGATGCACTTCTTCAACTGAACCTGGAAATAAGAGAAATAGAGGACCAATCAATAAAGACATATGTAGACAAGACATGTGAACAGTTTGCTAATCTGACTCCAAAAAGGTGTAACAAGCTCCCAATTTATATCAGGACAACAGAAAGTCTACACATCTTCCACAAAGACGGAAAACTCTTTAGTTTTGTCTGCACCTTGCATATAAAATGTAATAAAACTCAGGGATGCAAACTTGTCACCTTTCGGCGTAATTCGCCGTTTTGAATCCAAAATAGGTCGTTTGTGTGATTTATGTAGATCTGCAATAAAAATATTTTTGGGGTATGGGGGGGGGTCTGGGACCCGGAGTAATCTGCGGCCGCGAGCTGTGTGCAATCATGACACGCATGGTGTTCTTTTTTTATATAATGAAGCGCGAGCTGTGTGCTCGAGTCTTCCTGCCTGTCGGCTCTGCTCATGGATGTATAATAAGGCTCTGCTGCTCCGGGATGAGGGTCTAGCTTCAGCAGCTACATTACCTACTGGTGCGTTCGTTAATATTAACTGTGCGGTCCGGAGTCACTGTGGCACAGACTGGACCGCTGGTGAACAGCTGTTAGAACGGGCCTATCGAAGCAGCAGAGCGTGATGTGCACTGAAAAGTGTTTCTGTCGCAATATTATAATCGTTGAGCTAGCTAACTAGCATACATTGTCACTATTTGCTAACGTTAGCTTTAGCCTTCGTTTTCAAATAGCTTTTTTCATAGGCTATAAACGGAGGTGGTAGAAGAAAAAATAGAAGCACTCAGATCTTGTACTAGAGTAAAAGTAGAAGTACTCAGATCTTGTACTTGAGTAAAAGTAGAAGCACTCAGATCTTGTACTTGAGTAAAAGTAGAAGTACTCAGGTCTTGTACTTGAGTAAAAGTAGAAGTACTCAGATCTTGTACTTGAGTAAAAGTAGAAGTACTCAGGTCTTGTACTTGAGTAAAAGTAGAAGTACCAGAGTGTAGGAATACTCTGTTACAGTAAAAGTCCTGCATTCAAAATGTTCCTCAAAAGTAGTCATTGTGCAGATTGGTCCATTTCAGAATAATATATATGATATGTTTTATAATGATTGATCATGAAAGTGTTCTCAAAGCTGGTAAAGGTGCAGCTAGTTTGAATGACTTTGTATACTGCAGGGTAGCTTGTGGATTTACTCCAGGTGGAACTAAAGTCTGATTTAACAAAAAAGTACCACCAAGTATCTAAAAATTGTACCCAAGTATAGCACTTGAGTTTATGAACTTAGTTACTTTACACCACTGGCTATAAAGATAGAAAGACAGCCTTGCACAGAGGCATGAAAATACATTTTCAAAATGCTCAACAGTGCTGCCAAAATTATAAACTGACTGCTACACAATTAAAATAAATGCTTTTATACATTTCTATTAGATGTGACTCTTTGGCGTTTCTGTTATTAACTGCTTTAGTTGTTCTGACTGCTAACATCCTGTTAGTCCTCATTTTAAAGCCGATATTCCGTGGGGTCGGGGGGCTCGGATCCTTGTCACCTTTTTCATACCTGATGAGTTTGCATCCCTGAAAACTTTCACATTTCTGTATGTAGTACTTAAAAAAATAGCTTTCTTTGATCATATGGGCATATCTTTGCCCAAGAACTTGAAAAATGTAACACAAAATTGGATGGAAAGAGAGAAAAAAGGCAAAGAAAGAAGACCAGATGGAAGCATATAGATGATTTAAACCTGATACATTGTGGTTAAACCTGCACCACATTAACAGTCCGCTCACCTCGCTGCGGGAGAATGCCAGCCTCCACTCCCTGTCGGGCCGGCCACCCAGCGGGGAGCAGCAGGGAAGCAGATAGAAGCCCGATATGGCTTCCTCCTCTGTGATTTTACCATCCCAGAAGTGGTTGGCCGTCAGCCAGCCTTGAGCCACGGCAGGCCAGCCCCGGAACGACACCACGGGCAGGAGGTCGTACAGCACCCGGCTCGATCCCGCCTGCAGGGAGGGAGCGGGGACATAACTTTAACAAGAAAACTCCGGGGAACCTTAAAGATCTCCTATCATGCTATTTTTAGGCATATATTATGCGTCTCAGATATATAAAAACCATATCTATCATGTGTTTTGCTCAAAATACCAAGCAGATCATGCATTTTTGACATCCCTCATATCCCTCTATTTCAGCCCTGTTAGAGAACTGCTGATTCTGGGTCCTTAGCTTAAAAAAAAAATTAAAAAAAGAGGAGCTTGTGCCTGCTCAGAATTCTACCAAGATACAGCTAAATGCTGCCGTGATTAAACGCCATATCATGTTCCAAACCACATCAAGGATTATTTCTGAAACAGTTTGGAGCTCAAATGCTTTTTCTCTTGCAGGTTTACCACAAGGTGAGTTCCTTTTTTTATTTCCTGCTTTTTTACACATACTCTCTCCAGTACAGGTTAGCTCTGAGTGTTAGCGATGCTTGCTAATGTAAACAAATACCAAAAAACACGTCACACATTGTTTCTGATAGCAACGTTTCTGCGAATAAAATTAGACTCTGTTGCTCCTTTGAAAAAGAAGAAAATAAAACAACATAGACTAGCTCCATGGCATAATGCCGAAACCCGCAAAATAAAGCAAAAGTCGAGACAACTTGAAAGGGTATGGCGTTCCACTAAACTTGAAGAATCTCTAATCTTTAACTTGGCATATAACTCTCAATGAATATAAGAAAGCACTGCGTAAAGCGAGAGCAACTTACTACTCTTCAGATGAGAATAAGAATAATGCAAGATTTATTTTCAGCAGATTTCTGACAGAGAGCCACAGCTCTATTGAGCCATCTATTCCCATAGCACTCAGTAGTAATGATTTTATGTTCTTTTTTTAATGATAAAATTGTTACTCTTAGAAACAAAATGAATGACCTCTTGCCTTTGACCAGTATAGTGTTATCAACAGCTCCCGGAAATGTAAGTTCTAATATTACACTAGATAGTAAATTAGAATGCTTTTCACCCATAAACCTTGAACAATTGAATTCAATGATTCTTTCTTCTAATCTAAACCATCAACGTGTATCTTAGACCCGATTCCAACTAAGCTGTTAAAGGAAGTTTTTCCATTAATCAACACTTCTTTATAAAAATATTATGAATGTCTTTATTATCAGGCTATGTTCCACAATCATTTAAAGTAGCAGTGATAAAACCTCTTCTTAAAAAGCACAACCTCGATCCAGAGGTTTTAGCCAACTATAGACCTATTTCTAATCTTCCGTTCCTCTCAAGAATTCTTGAGAAAGCATTCGCAAAACAGTTGTGTGATTACTTAAAAAACAATGATTTATTTGAAGATTTTCAGTCTGGCTTTAGAACACATCATAGCACAGAGACAGCTCTTGTTAAAGTCACAAATTACCTTCTAATAGCCTCAGACAAAGGACTTGTCTCTATTCTTGTCTTGCTCGATCTCAGTGCTTCATTTGATACTATCGACCATGACATCCTATTGCAAAGACTAGAGCACTTAGTTGGCATTAAGGGAACTGCTTTAGGCTGGTTTAGGTCCTATCTATCTGAACGCTCTCAGTTTGTATGTGTCAACGATGAATCTTCCATGCAGACCAAAGTTAGCCATGGAGTGCCACAGGGCTCAGTGCTTGGACCTATTTTGTTCACATTATATATGCTTCCAATATTATAAGGAATCACTCTGTACATTTTCATTGCTATGCGGATGATACTCAACTATATTTATCAATAAAGCCTGATGAAACCAATCTAAATAAAATTCAAGACTGCCTCAAGGACTTAAAAACGTGGATGACCTTACATTTTTTGATGTTAAACACGGCCAAAACCGAAGTTATTGTACTCGGCCCATAGAATCTACGAAACAAATTATCTAAAGATATACTAACTATGGATGGCATTCATTTGGCCTCCAGTGAGACTGTAAGGAATCTTGGTGTTATATTTGATCAGGATTTATCCTTTAACGCCCAGATAAAATCAATCTCTAGGACCGCCTTCTTTCATCTACGTAACATTGCAAAAATCAGGCATATCTTGCCTCAAAACGATGCAGAAAAACTAGTCCATGTATTTGTTACTTCAAGGCTGGATTATTGTAACTCTTTATTATCAGGGTGTACCAAAAAGTCAATTAAGTCGCTTCAGCTGATTAAAAATGCTGCAGCACGTGTACTGACCAGAGCACGGAAAAGGGACCACATTACTCCTGTTCTGGCTGCCTTACACTGGCTCCCTATAGAACACAGGATAGAATTTAAAATTCTTCTTCTCGCCTACAAAGCCCTTAATGGGCAGGCGCCATCTTACCTTAAAGAACTCATTATACCCTACTGTCCTACTAGGGCATTGCGTTCCAAGAATGCAGGGTTGTTGGTTGTTCCTAGAGTCTCTAAAAGTACAATGGGAGCCAGAGCCTTTTCTTATCAAGCTCCACATTTGTGGAATCAGCTTCCAGTTTGTGTTCGGGCGGCAGACAGCCTATCCGTTTTTAAGAGTGCGCTTAAGACCTTCCTTTTTGATCAAGCTTATAGTTAGGGCTGATTAGATTCAGCCCCTAGTTTTGCTGCTATAGGCTTAGACTGTCGGGGGACACCTTACTTCTTCCTTCTCTCTGTCTGTACCTGTGTACTCTCATGTTCCGAATAACCCAGCTTCCCCCAAATTTCTTTTTGGTGTCTATCTACGCCGGGATCCTGAGTCGAGGCTGATCCTGTTGCTGTGGTCCTGGATCCTGAGTCCTGAGTCCTGGATCCTGCATCCTGAGCCCTGGATCCTGAGTCGTGGCTGTGCCTGTTGCTGTGGTCCTGGATCCTGAGTCCTGGATCCTGCATCCTGAGCCCTGGATCCTGAGTCGTGGCTGTGCCTGTTACTGTGGTCCTGGATCCTGAGCCCCGGATCCTGAGTCCTGCATCCTGAGTCCTGGATTTTGAGTCCTGGCTGAACCGGTCTCTGCGGTCCTGCCTGACTCTCATCATACTACTTCCCTGATGGCTCCCACAGGATTGTTGACATCCTCGTGGATTAATCTTCTTATTATAGACACATGCATTTCCAAACATTTGGACTACCTATGTTGTAAATGTATTATCTTTTCAATTTACACACGGCATCTATTGCATGTCTGTCCGTCCTGGGAGAGGGATCCCTCCTCTGATGCTCTCCCTGAGGTTTCTCCCATGTTCCCCTTTAAACTGTGGGGTTTCTTTGGAAGTTTTTCCTTGTACGATGTGAGGGTCTAAGGACAGAGGGTGTCGTATTGTCATACTGATATTCTGTACAAACTGTGAAGTCCACTGAGACAAATGTAACATTTGTGATATTGGGCTATATAAATAAACATTGATTGATTGATAGGGCCGTGGGTGTAAAGGCAGCCCACATTACCGATATTAAGTTATATCGGACGCAAATCTGGATCAGCTCCGTTGTACCCCCATTTTTAGAGATTTGGGTACGGAGGAAAAGAGAGAGGGTTTTGTTCCCTGACACACCGGGGACACATATTTATGTATAAAGGACCTTTAAAGCAGTGGTTCTCAACTGGTCAGGCCTCGGGACCCACTTTTTCCTTTGTCAATAAATCGCGACCCGAAATTTTGAACCACTCAAATCTATTCAACAAAAAATCGTGCTGTAACATATACCCTTTTCAGCATACAATATTAATTAAAGTGAAGTACAGTGCATATATCCCTTGTATCCCTTCACAGAACTAAAGAATGCTTTTAAAAAAGGTTTAATGAGATGATGTAATCAAAGCTGAACTGCATAACATAAAAAGGCTGAAAACCCAACCCCAGAAGGGGGATCTGGGGGGATTTTCCCCCCAGGAGATTTTTAGAAATACTAACATATAAACTGAGCATTCTGGTACACTCTGAGAAGAAAATAAATAAATGTATTACTTCCCGACATATTAATAATATTTGATGCCATTGTTTGTTTTTCACTTTGTTCTGAAGCTGAACTTGCTGCTCCACACAGAGAGAAGAGTAAAGAGGAGATAGTCTGTGTGACTTACTTTAAATTGTGGATAAGGGTAGATAGCTCCCATTGTTCTGTGACCTGTCAATCATCAATCATATTTCATTATGTGTTCATTTTTATCTGAAGTTGTACCCATGGATGTATAAAGAGTATTTCTACCGCAAAGTTATTCTCCGTGGGGACTTCCGGCAACAATCTTGATTCTGATTGGCCAGAAGACTCGAAAAAACATCAACAAAGATGTTTTATTGAAAAGATGATCACTACTTGACAGAAGTTTTCAAGACCGTTTATGGTCTCCGGTACTTCCAGTCCAACGCCTACTGCATGCACAGCGTTAGAACATCAAATAAAATAAAATAAAATAAAAGTGTGACTTTTTACACATCTGCGACCCACTCGAAACAGGTCCGCGACCCACTTTTGGGTCGCGACCCACCAGTTGAGAACCACTGCTTTAAAGCATTCCATATCGATAACAAGTTTTTTCAGCATTTCTTCAATCTGTACCTGGAGGATGATAGTGGTGAGGGGGCCATTCCTCTCCAGTCGGTCCGGGGTGGGAATGCCTCTCTGGGGGCTGCGCCTCAGCTCGTCCACAGCCTCGCTCACCACCCCCCAGAACCAGTCTGTCACCAGGGAGGGGGAGAAGTAGCACCCGTCCAGAGACTGAGGGGAGTCCAGAGAGGGGATGGAACCTTTACCTGAGCAAGGGAGAGAGGGAAGGGTCTAAATGCTGGGTCCCTCCATACGGACACAACAGTTTCTGGTTCTAGCTCATCAAATAAAACATGCAAACGGAATCTAGTTTAAATATTTTGGTGCCTGTTAGATGCAGTATACAGTCAAAAGCAAACAATGTGCCAGTGCTTTGCTGCAAATAATATAAATCAAATTTAAATTATTGCCCTTTTTTTAACCTTTCAGTAGCATTTTGCTGGGATTCATGTCCATGCTGTGAACTTATCACGCTAATCCCCCCCCTGCCACCTGAAGTACCGTTACATAATACCCCGTGGGAAATGTTATGATACGACCAAGAAATATTGCAAATGTGTTTTCCAAACGGCTGCGAATTAAAGCGATCCATTTCAATAACGTCATTACTTTTTCCCCATCTTGGAAGTCTCCCACTGGCGAGCGGTGTGGCAGATTGATGTCGAGGCGTAATAAGGTAGCTTGAACTTTCGATTGTGCGGCTATACTCATAAATGTTGCAGCGTGGGGAGGCGTTTCTCGTCTAACATATCTGAGGAGTTATATAAGAACGGGCAAAAGTGCATCATGCATCAAATTACCCAGGGGAAACACAGAAAAAATGAAATTGGCTCCCTTTCCTTTAAGGTGCTACTTTGTACTTCTACTCCACTACAATTCAGAGGTAAATACTGTACTTTCACTCCATTACATTTATTTAATACCTTTACTTACTTTGCACATTTGGATTAATGATGTGAAATATAATCAACTCTTAAATCAGACTTTAGTTACACCTGGAGTAAATTCACAAGCTACCCTGCAGTATACAAAGTCATTAAAACTAGCTTAACTTTTACCAGCTTTGATAACACTTTAATGATCAATAATTATAAAACATATCATATATATTATTCTGAAATGGACCAATCTGCACAATGACTACTTTTGGTACTTTAAGTATATTCTGATGCTTATATTTTTGTACTTTTACTTGAGTAACATGTTGATTGCAAGACTTTTACTTGTAACAGAGTATTTCCTACACTGGTACTTCCTCCACCTCTGCTTATATCTTTCTACCCATCCTCCCTTCACTCCCATCCTACTTACACATATCCCCCTCCTCCTCCTCCTCCTCGTCCTCCTCAGCGGGGAGTCCGTTCTCCTCCTGGCAGCAGATGCTCCAGCGGGACATGACATTGGAGTCGCAGAGGCGGAGGCTGAGCCAGGAGTGGCAGGGGGGGGAGTGCCTCATGTCCAGCGTGACGGGCTGGTTGCGGTCGTGGAGCTTGAGGGCGGGCACCAGCAGGGTGAATTCCAGGTCAAAGTCGGCCCCTTTGGCGTAGTCCCCAAGATCCTCTGGGTTGAGGTCCAAGACTCCCTCTCGGGCCCCGCCTGACAGCAGCAGGTACTCATTGGCCACCGGGAGGCGCTGGTCCACTTTTTGGACTAATCCTAAAGGGTTGCAGGTGAAGAAAAAAACTAAATCACACTCAGCACAATTAATATTCAGTCGTCGGTATGTTTCGAGATGCGTTTCCGCCAATGGGTTTTTTCTCTTCCACTCATATTAAAATGCATTTCATATTCAAATGCACGGACAAGCTCGGAGCACGCACACATTTCCAGCTCGGTTTGTTTTAAGAAGTAATGCATATATTTATGAGTATGAGCTGCAGTAATATTGACACAAGATGGAGTGTGAAATTAACAGCCCCTCTCAGTGACTGCTGGGCGAGACATTAACGAGAACTAGCCTACATGTCCTTCATTTCAGCTCTTTGCCGACATGCATCTACACCATGATTGGTCGAGGGGTTTCCGTTTTAGATTAGCAAGAAATGGGAAATCACTTAAAGGAGATTTCCTGTGTTCATATTGTAGCTTCTTGAGTTAATTGTTGAGGAAGTGTGATTGGGCAAGGCATACAAGCAATGATCGTTTTACTATATACTGCTTAAAAGGTATTCCTTACTCTCCTCTCTAAACAGTTTATAGGGGAGAAACTCACCCTCCAAATCCCTTTATGGCTACTTAGCTGTGTTGTAAACTTCCCAGGCTCCGGGCCCATGGGAGCCGCAGTTCTGGAGTAAATTATATTTTTCCAGCTTAAAAGAACAACTTGATCCTGTGCTGGTTTCAAGCTAACTGCCAGCTACTGTAGGTCAAAGGAGGAGCGTGGACACTTACAAACCCGCCGCAGGGGAAAGATCCTGAGCTCGAGTCCCTCCAGGGCAGTTAAGTGGCTGCAGACAGCTGAAACAGGGGCATCAGACCGGGCCTGTAGGTCATGCCTCGGGGCACAAAGCTCCACATGATTCCTCTTATCCAATTACATGGGCACACAACCTTAGTGGCATGTTTTCATGTGGTGGCATGTGTGTGTACCTAAGCGTGTTGGACTTGAAATTGTGACTCCAGAGAAAAGGAAAAGGCCAAAGCTACTCAAAAAGTGGCAATTTAAAGTGTGAAGATTAGGGATGGGTATCGTTTGAAATTTATCGATTCCAATTCCGATTCCGGTTCTGCTTATCGATTCCGGATCTTATCGATTCCCCGTTTCGATTCCAAAATTGTAAAAGAAAGAGGTCAAACGTTTAGATAACAAAAATATCTTTATTCTTTTAAGCTTTAACTGACATTTTTACAAATAAAAAATATACATGCAATACAAATGTATTGCACAATAGCTGTGCTTTATTTTAACTGAGCTATGCCTGATGCAAGCTATTAACAGGCATTACACTGTGCCTTGTCTTTTTCTTTTTTAGTGTAGTGGAGCCTCACTTTAGAGCGTTTACCGCAATCCATCTTTGGTGTTATGAAGTGACTGAGCTCGTGAACTGTCTACGGGAGGGCGGGGGGAGCCACGCTGCGGGGCAACTGTGGACCTCTGTCGCCTGTCAGCGCAACTTACATGATGGCGTTGAAAAAAATTAAGGGCGGTGCCGGCCGTCAGCGTACCGAGCCGGCCGCCAACGGCCCGCTGACGACCGGCCGTTCTGTGATTCTCCAGAACACACAGATCATGGCCAGTGGATATACTGTATTCCACCGGGTCACCGCGGCGCAGACGGACCCGCGGCGCAGACGGACCCGGTGGAATACAGGGTCTACCGCGTTTAGGAACCGTTAAGCAGAACCGAAATTGTGTATTTTGTATGGGCACCCGGTACCCGGCATTTTCTTATCGGTTCTCATCTGGAACCGAGTTTCAGTTCCCAACCCTAGTGAAGATGTTACATTTAGAAAGATATTTTTGTTTATTTTAGATGTTATATCCAACACATGATGCTCTGACTGAGGGACATTTCAAGAGCAGCATCCCCACCCACGCATTAGTTTCCTTCAGTGTATCAAAAAAGGTAGAACAGTTATTTTTTAAATGAAAATTTGAGGGAAATATTCCAGGGACTGAAACGTCAAACTCAAATGAGCTCACGAAGATCTCTCTGGTGCTTTGCTTTGAGAAGGTGCAAAATGAAAGGGCCTTATTTAAGGCGACCACTGGGGTGGAAGTCGAAGAGTAGAAGAAAAATAAAAAAGTATGTATCTTTGGATTTTCAAATGTGTTAGCAGAATCTCCCTGTACGGCTCCAGTCATCTCCTGACTAACTAGACTTTCAATCTCAGTCTTTCCTAAAATTCCCCAACCTGAACTATAGACTGCAGGAATGAGTCCTAAAACTCTGGGAATGAGTTAGCATTTTTGCAGTCATCTGGAGGTAACGGTGGGTTACGTATTAGCACAGGTGGAGCCCTCTACTGGACTCTATGGGTACTACTCTCATCAATGATACGCAAGCGTTCACACACTGAAGTTGTATAAACGTAGCCGGCCAATCAGGGTGAGCCTACCTGAATGCATGCGCAGCCTCCTGACTGTCATCCAACACCCTCTTCAGCGAGCGGCATAGGAAAGAGGCCCCTAGGCTCCGCCTGTGCTTATAGAACTAGGGTTACAATACATAACACACCGTTCTATCTCACACAGGCTCCGCCCTCTACTGGACTCTGGGTACAGTGGGTGGAGCCCCGATGGATAAACGCCCTGTCGTCCCACAACATCGACCCACCACACTGCCCCTGACGGCCTTTGGTTAACCATCGCACCCCAACTTCCTATCACCCGGTTGAGACCGTGGAGAAGTTGGGGCCGCAGCTTGGCTGGGTAGAGCCTAATTGGTCTGAATAAGCCCATAGCTCCACCCTGCAGGTGCCAGCGCAAGTGACTACACACTGTGCACCACGTTTCCCAGGTCCCTAAGGAGCATGGGACAACGTAAGTGCATTATGTCCAAGGGGGTCAGACAGCCCTCCTCCTTTCACCAGTCCTGTGTTGCCCCAGCAAGCACTGACGATGAAAAAGGAGCCAGACATGTCTAAGAGATACTTACCTTATGAACGGGCCTGGCGTAGACCAAGACGCCGCCGTGCATAAGTGGACGACTAAAGCCGTCTAGCTGTATAACCCTCGACCTGGAAGAACTCCTTAGGTTCTTGGGAACAGAGAAGGGGTTCGGTCTGAGTGTCGCCCTGCTACGGTCACCACGAACCAGAAGGCAACTCGGGTGCACCAATAGAGCGGTCAGTTCGCATACTCTCTTGGCAGAAGGCAAGCAAGTTTCCTTTTGCTTCTCTCTCTCTCAATGATAGCACCTACAGGGAGGAGAGCTCCAGATGCTCAATGGTTCTGTAACCAAAGCCTCGAGCACCAATGGCAGTTCCCATTGCGGGGTGGAGACATGCACCACTGGGCGCTGTCTCCTGATCCCCTATAAAAAAAAGAAGCTTTAAAACGCGGTTGGCTAAAGACTGGTCTGCCGCCAAATCCCGCATGACAGGACGAGATGGCTGCTGCATACACCTTGACTGTGGCATGAGCAAGCCCCTTATCCACCAGTAGCTATAGCCAGGATAGAATAGAGCCCAATGTACCGGACAGAGGCTCTAGACTCCCTTCCTCACACCACGTCTGTCTGTCCTCTGACAGAGTGGCACGTAGCCTGCCCTCCTTCTCAATGGGGCGTACACCTCGCTCGCGATGGGGGCGTACCCCTCGCTCTCGATGGGGGCTGAATTGAGCAAAATCCCCAGATACCCCACCTGCTGGTGAGGTATGGGACTGCTCTTCTTCCAATTGACCGCAACCCCCCAACTTGGTTAGGTGTAAGATCAATTGGGCTGTGTGGAACATCTGCCCATTCCCTGGACCTAGCCATGACTATGAGGTTGTTGAGATAAAATAAAACCCTCATGCCATGGTCGCGAAGCGGCCGAAGCGCTGTGGCCACACATTTGCTGAACGTGCGTGGGGACAGGGAGTAGCCGAACGGTAGTCTGTTGTACTCGTAGGCTATCCCCTGGAAGGCAAAACGCAAATACTTCCTGTGTTTTGGCTTTCTAGCAATTTCGACATGAAAGTAAGCGGCCCTCAGGTCGATGGTTTGTGAACCAATCGCCCGGCTGTACCAGTTCCAGTGACTGTAGAAATCCCAACCACTTCATCCTGTAACAGGCTGTGGTGGATCACGCCCTTGTTGCCTGGATAGTCTGTATAACTTTGTCAGACAGTCCACCCCTTCTCAGCCTGTCCCTCTCAGGAGCCAAGCCTGGAGAGGTTGGCCTTGAGTGGGTAACGCCCCTAATGCACCCACTTCCTGAGACAGCGCCCCCGGAACTGAGGAACTGTCCAGGGCTGACCCACCATCATCTGTGTGGCGACGAGCGGCGACCTGGGGCTACCAGAATGACCGACAACTGTTCTCGTCTCACCCCCTCCAGGAGTGGGGCATGAGACGCAGCGGTGGAAAGGCGTAGAGCATGTAAATAGGATAGCCGGAATGTGAGGGGCCTTTAGAGATAAAAACATTCTCTGAGGCCCACAACCACAGGTTCTCCACTGCGCTCAACAAGACGGCGGAGCGGACTCTGCCCTGCCTGTTGATGTAAGCCACTGTGGTGAGGTTGTCGCTCCTTACCAGCACATGTTTGGGGGCGAAACGAAGGCTGGCTGCACCAGGCGGACCGGGCCGTAGAACCCCTGGCGGAGGCGGCTCACCGGTTTCGGCGGCAGTGGTGGGGGGAGCGGTAGCCCTACACGCTCCGCCGCCATGGTCATCACCAGGGGGAAGTCCTGGCGGACAGACCTGGGCGGTGGACTTTCATGGACGCCGGACCCGGAAGTGCCCGCCAACGAGAAGTCCTCATCATCCTCCTCCCCGGCAAACGGAGCCATCCGCCCCGCTGGAATGGCGAACGTGAATGGCACCGCCTCGGCCATATCCTGGTCCCCAAACACTCGAAGCAGAGGTGGTGGGGATCTGCGCCCGCTATTAAGCCAGGGCACGAAGGACAGGCCCGGGTCTCTAGAAGTGGCGACTCCATGATGGTACGATAACTTCTTTCTTCTTCTTTCAAACGTTTTACTTTTGTCTGTCAGGTGTTGTCCTGCT